GATAATTTTTCAATGATATCAATAGATTGACATTCCAGAATAGTAACAGTACATCAACCATTCTGGAATGGTAACAGTACAATAACCTTTTGGTATGATAACAGTGCATTGACCATTCTGAAATGGTAACAGTAGAAATGAAAAAAAAAATGTTTTAAAATGTGATTTATCCTGTTAGGAGTTGATTAACAATTTAATTCATATTGATATTTGTAGATCTTGTGTTGCTGATCATTTCAAAGTTTTAGTCTAATCCATTTTAGTTTTTCAAGATACTAGGCAAAACCACTAAAATTGGTCAAAAATCATCTTTGAACAGTTGGAAGGGCAATAACTCCTATAAAGAGTCGACTGAGTCAAGTAAAAACCAACTTCAAGGCAAATACACAGTAAATATACATAATTTGTTTTACTATTCAGTGCCATTGATTAAAATTTTTAGTTGTTTATTGGTTGTGACCTAATTCCGAGGGGCAGTAATGTAGACATCAATAAATCAACCAAGAATTGTTTTCTAGTCGTTGTAAGGTCAAACATTATACCCCAATCTAAATTTATTCAAAATCAATAACAATATAAAAAGTTTCATTGAACTTTGATTAATATCCTTCATAGATTTGAAAATAGTGTAACAGTGGTTAACAGTTAATTACTGTAATACATTTTCATCCAAAACTAAACCGCCTCAGAGGGTTCATGTTCACTTATAGTGCGGAACGTCCTAGGTTTCCAACCCTAGCAGGGACAAACCAAAAACTTTAAAATTGGTAAGCACATGGCATTTAGGAGTAATAGCAAAGACTTGTCAGCTTTGAGTCAGAATAATGTGACCAGGTTGGGTGACATGTCTTCCTGCAGATTGTTACCTGGTGAACTAATAAAATCTGACACAGTGTGTCGGTCTAGTACAAAGCAGGATTAATATTCATATTACATTAACATGTTTTCCTCCAAAATCTGATTAATTTGCCCCTGGACGTTAACCAGCCATCCATCCATCATCATCATCATCATCATCCAAAATTATTCATCACCAATGAGCTTGAGGCACTATCAACTAAGTAAAAATAGTGTCAAATTCAAATTCAAAAGCTGAGTATTGATTATTTTTTTCTACTTTGTTGTTTTCTACTTCCTTTATATATCTTTAGGCCTACAGAACAGACAATTCATCTTTTGTAAGGGGTGCTTGTTTTTTAATTATTTTTTTTATTCTAAATTTCTTGAAAAAACAGTAATTGGATTCAGAAGTGAATGGAGCAAATTCATTTGTTTGTATTGAAAATTAGCACAATTATTATAAAAAAAAAACACATTGATTTTTTATGCATTGCAACCCTTGTGGTTTTATAATTCTGGCAGAATGTTTTAATACAAACAGATTGATTGATTGCTTGTTTTAAATGCAAATATAATATACCACAAATTCTATTATTGTGAAGTACAATGGTTCTTCTAATTCAAAACATGAAGAATAAAACAAGACAATTCAGAAAAGACATCTCTGCTATATTGGATTTTTGTTATGCAAACACTTTTGTTTTGGTTTAAGCACACACATTTAGTTCCCTCAAGAACATGCATAACTTCCATGCTTGAGTTCATGTTAGAATTTACAATACCGATGGGAAAATAGCTTCCAAACATCAATTTTAGTGTACATTTGGCAAATCTTTCAGTTTTGAACACAATGTCATCAATGTCTATATATACATGATATAAGGATGTCTTAGTGGAAGATTAATATATTAAAAAAAATAGAATCATTACTTATTTTGGTGCTTCTGAATGAGTCATATGTTGAATTTCATTTAAAAATCATTTGATTTACAGACATACAGAAAGCATGAGTAAATTTCATGTTAAAGGTTAGAAAATGACAGGTTTTATAGAATTTTATTGCCAAACTGAAATTAAAAAATTCATTCTATCAATGGGACAAACATTACTTTTCCTGAAGCAACGCATAATAGGAATATGTTTTTTGACAAACATTAAAGCATATTGTGACAAGAGTGAACACGCTGTTTTAATTATCATTGAATTCATGTTGAAAGTCTGTAATGTGAAGGTTTTAGTAAAAGTAGCACATAAATTTAACATTATCAATGTTCTATGAAAATAATGTCATTCTATACACCAAATATAGTGGTCCCATCGCTAATAGTGCCTGAGAAACAGATCAAACCACAAAATCTTAACATTGACAAATGAATCATGAAAATGAGGTTAAGGTCATATGAACCCTGCCAGACAGACATGTACACCTTACAATCATTCCATACACCACATATAGTTGACCTATTCCTAATAGTATTTGATAAACTGATAAAATTTACAAAAAACTTTTATTAACCAATGAACCATGAAAATAAGGTCGAGGTCATATAAACCCTGCCAGACAGACATGTACACTTTACAATCGTTCCATACACTAAATATAATTGACCTATTGCTTATTTTATCTGAAAAATAGACCAAACCACAAAAACTAAACATTGTCCAATGAACCCTAAAAATGAGGTCAAAGTCAGCTGAATCCTGCCAGACGAACATGTACACCTTACAATCATTCCATACACCAAATATAGTGGCCCTATTGCTTATAGTATTTGAGAAAGAGACCAAACCACAATAAAATGCTCCGATGGGCGCAGCTTGATACGACCGCAGAGGTTGAACACTGAACAGTTGGGGCAAGTATGGACACAACATTCAAGCTTGATACAGCACTGAATTTGGATTGTGATTAAATATTTGACACAGCATAGGTTTCTGACACAGAATGAATGTGGTCTAAGAACTTAATTTTTTTTAATTTACCTATTCAAACCATATCGTTATTATTTGCTTTAATATATAAAACAGAAATAAACAGTTTTAAATGGAAAATTTTAAAGAAAAAAAAGGAAAAAAAAATCACTCCCCCAAATTTTTTGAAACCCCTTATGATTCATCACCCATAAACTCAATCCCAGCCTTCCCTTTGTGGTATGGTACCTTGAAGTACAATTTCAGAGAGATCCATACACTTGAACACAAGTTATTGTCTGGAAACTAGAAAAATGCTTGTTTTTTGGCCCCTTTTTCCTAAACGTTTAGGGCAATTACCCCCAAACTCAAACCCAACTTTCCCTTTGTGATATGGAACCTTGTAGTACAATTTCATAAAGATCCATACACTTACACACAAGTTATTGTCCTGAAACTAGAAAAATGCTTGTTTTTTGCTCCTTTTTGGCCCCTAATTCCTAAACTTTTGAGGCAATTACCCCCAAAATCAATCCCAGCCTTCCCTTTGTGGTACGGTACCTTGCAGTACAATTTCAGAGAGATCCATACTCTTGAACACAAGTAATTGTCTGGAATCTAGAAAAATGCTTATTTTTGGCCCCTTATTCCTAAACGTTTTGGGCAATTACCCCCAAACTCAATTCCAGCTTTTCCTTTGAGATATGGAACCTTGTAGTACAATTTCATAAAGATCCATACACTTACACACTAGTTATTGTCCTGAAACTAGAAAAATGCTTGTTTTTTGCCCCTTTTTGGCCCCTAATTCCTAAAATTATGAGGCAATTACCCCCAAAATCAATCCCAGCCTTCCCTTCGTGGTATGGTACCTCGCAGTACAATTTCAGAGAGATCCATACTCTTGAACACAAGTTATTGTCTGGAAACTAGAAAAATGCTTATTTTTGGCCCCTTTTTGGCCCCTTATTCCTAAACGTTTTGGGCAATTACCCCCAAACTCAATTCCAGCTCCTTTGTGATATGGAACCTTGTAGTACAATTTCAGAAAGATCCATACACTTACACACAAGTTATTGTCATGAAACTAGAAAAATGCTTGTTTTTTGCCCCTTTTTTGGCCCCCGATTCCTAAAATTTGGAGGCAATTACCCCCAAAATCAACCCCAGCATTCCCTTTATGATATAAAACCTTGTGGTACAATGTCAGAGAGATCCATACACTAACACACAAGTTATGTCTGGAAGTTACAAAAATGCTTATTTATGGCCCCTTTTTGGCCCCTTATTCCTTAACTGTTGGTACCTTAACCCCAAAAATCAATCCCAGCCTTCCTTATGTGGTATTGAACCTTATGGTAAAATTTCATAGAGATCCATTCACTTAAACTAAAGTTAGAGTGCGAAAACCAATGTGTCTTCGGACGACGACGACGTCATACCAATATACGACCGCAAAATGTTTTTGCGGCCGTATAAAAACTAAACATAGTCCAATGAATCATGAAATTGAGATCTTGATCAGATGAAACCTGCCAGTCGGGCATGTACACCTTACAATCATTCCATACATCAAATATAGTTGACCTAATGCTTACAGTAGCTGCAATACGGACTTGACCACGTAGCTTTAACCTTGATCACTGATCCATGAAATCAGGACAAAGTCAGGTGAACCCTACCTGACAGACATGTAGACGTTGCAAGGAACCCATATACCAAATACAATTATACTATTACTCATAATAAGTGAGTATTCCACTTGACCAAAAAACTAATTTTTTTTCAAGCAGTTACTTAGCCATGAAAATGAGGCCAAGGACAATGGACATATGACAGGCTAAAACTTCGTAACATAAGGCATCTGTATACAAGGTATGAAGCATCCAGGTCTTCTACCTTTTGAAAATTTAAAGCTTTATGCGGATAGTTTACGCCGTTGCAGGATTCCTATGTAATCTTTGCAACTTTTGTAGCAGGCCAGACAAAAATGATCTGCAGCTAAATTTGAATTTTTATTTGTTTGAAGTATGTTATATCTAAGCATTGATTCAATATAATGACTTCAAATGCCAAAAGTATGGTTTTTGGCTGATAGGGGTCACATACATATAATTTAGGTGACTGGGTCATTTAACTTTATTTTCAGGGAATTTAGTGGGAGACATAGGACTTAAATTACAAAGTCTCCTTAAAATGACAAGTGAATAAATTATGGCAAATGAAATACAGATGTAAATTGAACTCACCTAATACTTGGATCTGCAATTTCCTTACACTTTCCTCATCCCCAGCAGTTAAGTATACCTTAAATAGTTCTATAATTTCTTGAAAGTATGGTTTCAATAATGTTTTTGCTGCATTAGCTACAAAAAACAACATCATTATCATCATTGCCATTTGAGAAAAAAGTCAGAGATCATTCATATCATCATGCCAATGTAGACATATCAAATAAGAGACTCCTAAGAGCCTGAATTGTTCATCTGGCAAAAATTTGACATTACTTTTTTACTTTTTCACAATCAGAATTGTTTTCAGGTGATAACAATTATTTTTGATTTAAACATCATTTTTAGAGCAATTGCGTCAAATCAAGACGATTAAATTATTAGTATTCAGTACCAGATACACATTAGTTATTTAAACAAAAATCATGATACAAAATTTGTTTTAAAAATAAACTTCCAGGTACCCTCATCTCTCCCGAAATCAACCTTTCTCCACTAAGGACAACATTTTATAATTATCCGTTTTACAAACTCAACGACCGTATTTTCCTGAAAATTGAATTTAAAATAAAAGAAAATACTTTTAAATGAATTTGTTTTCCATTATAGGCGACAGCCGAAATTTTCCAGATCAACACCATACCGCAATCTCCTTCCCAGAAGACGGTTTCCAGTTACTGTTGGGGATATATGATCCCAGTTGGCAGACCAATTGGAAACAACTTTATGCCGATGAGACAAAAACAGCAACAAATACCACACTGTAAAACTAGATATGGACGATGCCCCCCTCTGCTCTGCCATATGCATGTGTGTAGTTCCACATACTTTAGATTTCACAAACAGTGATGTTGAAGTACAACCTTGAAATTGTTGCGCTGTCTGTAAGACACAAATGATGACCCCGTCTGACCATAAGAAATTATAAATTTAACACTATGTATGATAATCTAAGTCCAAATAACTGGCATTTTGAAAATACTTGAAAAAAAATCAAAATCCTGTGGACATGCACTTTCATCATGTGTACAAAAAACCTACAAAATATTAAAGCTACAGCTCAAAAACTGTAAGAGGAGATAGCCGAACAAAGCATGATCTTTTTATGCAGCTAGTCCAAATACCTGGCATTTTGAGAATATTTGAAAACAAGAGGCTGTCAGAGAGACAGCAAACCGGATTTTCCTGCAGAGGTCGAATCCTGAACAGTTGAGCAAGTATGGACACTACATTTAAACTTAAAACAGCTCTGAATTTGGATTGTGATTGAATATTTGACAAATCATAGGTTTGTGACACAAAATGAATGTAGTCAAAGAACTGATATATTTGAAATTGGACATTTAAATACCTATTATGGTCCAATATCCAAAATCTAAGTACATATTAGAATCAGCATATCAAAGAACCCTAAGAATTCAATTTTTGATGAAATCAGACAAAAGTTTAACCTATAGCTAGGACCCTGGCCCTTTGGACCTCAATGTGGACCAATTTGATAAAGGAGCCCACAATCCAAAATCTCTCAATACATGGTTAGATTCAGCATTTCAAAGAACCCCATAAATTCACTTTTTGTTGAATCAAACGAAGTTTGATTTTGGACCCTGATTTAGACCAACTTGAAAACTGGGCCTAAAAATCTATTATTTAAATAGAGTTTAGATTCAGCATTTGAAAGAACCCTATATATATATCTAATTTATGTTGAAATGAAACACAGGTTAATTTTATCCATAATATTTTCTGTGCAAATGGAAATAACTCAAACTGGATAAATAGTTCTCTAAAATAAGATATGATGCAATTTTTCAAATTATAATAAATAATAACAACAACCAGTGATGACTAAGTTCTCTAAAATTAAATATGATTTAACACTCAAACATTGTTAGAATCAGCATATCAAAAAACAAAAGAATTCAATTTTTGATGAAATTAATCAAAAGTTTAATTTAGGACCCTTTGGACCTCAATGTGGTATTATCTTATTAATAATGAAAAGCTCGACCGTTCACAAGTTCTTAAACAGGAGGGGGTATTTCATTTGATTTGTTTTATTGTCCCATACAAGAATATATATGGTTTCGGGTTGGGGATCTTGACCATTTACAAGTTTTCAAAAAGAAGGGGGGTGGGGGTTACCCCAGGGGACTTTACCTCAATTTCATTTGATTTGTTTTATTGTCCCATTCAAGAATATATATGGTTTAGGGGTGGGGATCTCGACCGTTTACAAGTTATCAAAAAGAAGGGGGGTGGGGGTGATCCCCATGGACTTTCCCTATATTTCATTTGATTTGTTTTATTGTCCCATACAAGAATATATATGGATTAGGGGTGGGGACCTCGAGCGTTTACAAGTTCTCAAACAGGATGGGGTGGGGATGACCCCAGGGGACTCGCCTTATATTTCATTTGATTAGTTTTATTGTCCCATACAAGAATATATATGGTTTCAGGGTGGGGATCTTGACCGTTTACAAGTTTTCAAAAAGAAGGGGGGTGGGGGTGGTCCTGGGGACTCCCCCAATATTTCGTTTGATTTGTTTTATTGTCCCATTGACAGGAAAACTGGCAATCCTAGTCAATTCAGATTGGAGTTCGTTGTTAGTCTGTTTGTCCAACAAATATTTTCGCCACACTTTTGTCAAAAACTACTGAACATTCTACTTATTTGGTCAGCTGCTCAACAGTGATGAGTTATAATGTGTCCTCCAGTCAAATAAATAAAAAGTCTATTTAATAACCTACCTGTAGCTCCTATAGCACTGATAGCTAACTGTTTCTGCTTAACAGAGGTTGTAGGAATCTTCAGTACTCCAAGCAAATGTTCCATCAATGGTTGTAAATATGGCTCTATTCCATTTCCTACAATGATTTTTTATTTCAAACTTTAAGGGTGCAATCAACAGTTTTTTTCTATGACGTCATATTTTAAGGGACCATGCCTAAGTGACCCTTAGTGGTGGAATGGTTAATAAAGATACTTGTATAAAACTAGATATTACTGGAATCAGAATTTTCTCTAGTTTATATTGAAATAATAATATACTGTACTTTTAATATAGTAAAAAAGTTCTATCCAGAGAAAATGGGGAAAAAGTTGCCTAATCTGAACATAAAAAACCTGAAATCAGGTCATGTGCATACCCATGTAAACATGATACAGGCACATTTTCCATAATCAAAACTGTATGAAATTCATAGGTTTTTACCTGGCCTTTAATAAAAATCTTGTTTCAGGGTACGGTTTCCTGCTTCGAAAAGAGCTACAGTGGCTGCAAATAAGTTTTCAATTTTCACTGCCAAAAAAACAGGATGTTTACAGTGTTGTCTCCCCTCAAAACATGAATATTTAATCTTATTTTTAAAATTATTTTAATCATTCAACCTGTTTAATTTGAAAGCTAATTAACTAATTTTTACAATCAAATACAAAAAACATGATACTTTTTCACCAATTATATGAATAAAAAGGGATTTCCCTCCATGGTTATTTTTAGTCGGGGAATAACCCCTAGTTTTTTATACGAAACTGTTTATAGCATCCTTAAACATTAATATGCTTTTTTCATACGGTGTATATATATCCCAACTCGTTCGTTATGCCCGTGTGTGTAGTGATGTCATAGATTTTAACGAACGTAATCAATGCATCACTGGTAAATTATTAAATCAAGGATTTCGTTACCATAAATTACGTTAAACTTTTGTTAAGTTCTTTCATAGATACAAAGATTTGATTAGTAAATTTGGCTGTACTTGTAGAAAACTGATTAAAAACGGTATTTCGCATCCTAAATTTTACGATAATATTGTACTTAAAGCGCGGAAATCACTATGTGATCCGTGTAAACTCATCGAACCTTTAAACAGGCTTATTAGTAAAGGTTATCTTACCAATTAATTTGATCTTTGAATATAGTTTACATTGGCACTAATATCGATTTTGTCATCAGCAAATTAAAACATAACTAAATTTGTATTTTTTTTCAAGTGGGATGTATAAAGACACACCCACGTTCGTTTAGATCTATAAAGAGGTTAAACTCCTAACTATCCTACTGTCTGTCGATACATTTATTTTTGGCATTGCACTAGTCATGTCTTCTTTGACTGTCCATGACGTTAAAATACTAAATCCCTGGGAAGTGTTTTAGTTGATTTTAGTCTCTGATGCATGATTTTTTATTATTAATTGTTTTGGCTTTTAACTAGCTGTCAGTAACTGCGAGTACTATCAAATCGTACTTTCTTGTTTATTTGACCTGTTGATACTAATTGTATTGCTTTTTTGTTATTTAATGTTTATTCAGGGTTATATCTGGTCTATATACCAGCTTTGATAAGTGTTTGGTATAACTATAAATTTTCACTTCGTACTATGAACTTCAAAATTATTTATTTTGTAATAATATTTCCTTTCTCTATTGGTACTGTACACGTATACCTAACAACAAAATTATTTTCATTTACCTGGGTTTAAAGTTATTGCAAATGGATGGTATTTTTGTTCGAGCATATTGTTTTTCTTTAATTGTTTAACATTTCTTACCGATATAACTTGTTACTTTTATTATTCTTCTCTTAATTTATTTATTTTGTATTCAAAATTATTTATTTTGTAAAAATATTTCCTTTCTCTATTGGTACTGTACAGGTATACCTAACAACAAAATTATTTTCATTTACCTGTGTTTAAAGTTATTGCAAATGGATGGTATTTTTGTTCGAGCATATTGTTTTTCTTTAATTGTAACATTTCTTACCGATATAACATGTTACTTTTGTTATTCTTGCCTTAGTTTATTTATTTTGTATTTACATTGTGTCATAGGTCAAATTTATTTGTTCAGTGTATGTTCAATGGTGTTAATATGTCCTTTGATTGAGTTAAGCTATTTCAGTTGATATTTTATAGTGTGTCTTTCTATGTTGTGATGTTACACTATTGTTTCAGGAAAAAGGGTGAAGGTTTGGTACCATTAAAACGTTTAAACCCGCTGCATTTGTTTGCACCTGTCCTAAGTCAGGAATCTGATGTTCAGTAGTTGTCGTTTGTTGATGTGGTTCATAAGTGTTTCTCGTTTCTCGTTTTTTATATAGATTAGACCGTTGGTTTTCTCGTTTGAATGGTTTTACACTAGTAATTTTTTGGGGCCCTTTATAGCTTACTGTTCGGTGTGAGCCAAGGCTCCGTGTTGAAGACCGTACTGTGACCTATAATGGTTGACTTTTATAAATTTTGACTTGGATGGAGAGTTGTCTCATTGGCACTCATACCACATCTTCTTATATCTATTTTATATCATACTTCAAACTCTGTTGAAGGCATTTCCCGAGGGAGATATGAATTTGCGAAAAATTCACCCCCAAAAGTTAATTATTTATTCTATGACAATTTTTTTTTACGATTTTGTTTTTACGTCTGAAATCATTATTAACACGATAATGACTACAATCACTATTCAAAAAAATGTTCAAGATATTTTATACATTAACCGTATGTTATGTCGCATGTGGTAGTCCTGATGTTCAGAGGGGAATATGAAGTCTTGTTCAGTGTCTCTTGGGATAGTCTCAACCAATCAAATGTTAATTTCACTATCAATATCAACAAACAGTGCAATAATATGAGATATTATTGTAGTTGGTTCAACTTCAGTTATGGACAAAAGAAGATAACTTCAATTTTGAATATTACTTTAATAATGACATCATTGAATTGACTATGATTGTCAGTTTTCCTATCGAAGTTCAAAGTTCTCTCTGTGCACTCTGGCTTCCTCCACCAATAAAAGCTGACCACCAACTAAAAGCACAATAGTGTTGAAAGTGATCTTAAACACCAACCAATCAATCAATCTTGCCTACATTTTATTTGTATCTAATATAATGCCTAAATACTCTAAAAACAAGGGTTTAATTGAATCTGGAATAATTATAAATTATGGAATATGTGATAATTTTGTGTATGTTGTTCTAAGCCTTACTTATAAAATAATATTCCGTGCGTTCATCGTGTATTGTGCGTGTACCAATCGTGCGCTCATCATTCATCGTTCCGTGTATTTTCCGTGTACCGTGCGTGCATCGTGTATTCTTAATCGTGTATGGTGCGTGTATCGTGCGTTCATCAATCATTCATTCTTAACCGTGTATCGTGCGTTCGTCAATCGTGTATAACTGTGTACATCAGATAACGTTTATTTGTCAAACGTTCATCTCTAATCGGGTAACGTTCATTCATTGCGGTTTTTATATGATAGTCGGTTATAGAGCTCATCAAAGCTTATATTTTATCTCACGGTTAAAGTGTATATATATGTTCCGACTTTAAATAAAATTTACATTCATACTTACTTTCTTGTGAACACTTAATTAACTTCATCGTACATAACGTTCATACAGATTCATGAATTTTTGTGTAAAATTTATTTATCATCTGTAAACATTTCGTGGTTATTCAGTGAATCTTGGCTGGGACTGACACATTTTAATATAATGATACATGTTCTACGTACAAACAATAACATGATGACATTTCTACGACAGAACAGTTAAAATTGGAATTTCTATTCAACTGAGCGAAATGGGCTTAAAAATATACTGTTGGCCAACTGTTATTTGTTAAAAAATATTCCGCCAATAAAAAAAACAGTGCTTTTGCAAAATTTAGATGTGGGGTAGCTCCACTAAAAATAGAAACTGGAAAGTATGAAAGAAAAGAAGTCCACGAGATGACATGTGTTGTAGCTCTACTATTGAAGATGAACTTCATGTCATTTTAAAATGCCTATTATATGTAGATTTAAGACAAATTATGATACATTAAGCTAAACATTTTAATGAACATTTTAACCTTTAATTATCAGATAGCGAAAAATTTATATTTTTATTTAATAACGGCAATGTTGCTGCTATAGTTGCCAAAAACATCAACAATATTTCATTGAAAAGAAACGGCATTTTATTTCCTAGTTCTCAAAGAAAAAATGTTTTATTTTCATATAGTACAGGTGGACACTGTAAATTTTAAATGTAAATGAGTAAATATATTGTGTCTTAAAAGTCTCTCATTATTCTTTTTAAGATTGGTACATACAATGCAAATGTTTTAATGTTTTATGTTTATTTCTGTGATTCTCATTTTATGTTTGTATGTGGTGAGACTATAATAATATATTGAATCAGTATTAACATGATTAATGTTCAACTTGAGTCATTTCTCCAATGTTGAACAATGCAAGATTATAATTCTTCGCTTATTTGGCAAATTCATATTCTACTAAATATTCAAACATTTAAGTTTTGATAAATACCATTACAAATATAATTTTTGTCTTCGTTTCTGATGGTCACGTGTACGTAAGGTTATTCCATTGAGAAAATACAATATACAAGATTGTCGGGTAAATGTGGATTGCGGATTAAGATTTTAGATGTCAAACTTGAATTAACAAATTAAACTGAGGCGAATTTAACACGAATATGTATTTTCTCTTCAACAGTGTTTTTATTCTCTGTTCTTTATTTTCATTTAAAATAAGCTAAATATGTTTTGTGGAAAATTGAATACAAATAAACATATGTATTTGAAGGCATTTTTTTAATTAAACAAGTACAAGATCAGGCAAATATATCCCGTATTCCTTAAGAAGGATTTTAAATTGAGGAACTTTTTAAACTTGAAATTGTGTTTACGAGTTTAAGATATTCTTTTTTATTTAAATTGTTTGATAAAATAGTTAAATATATTGTATTATCATAACAAGTCTTTATTTAAATGGAATAAACATGGAACACTTTCACAGATTCATTTTTCATTGTGTTCATGGTTGCATATCAAGGACACCGTTTTTAATGTA